GTCTTGTGTGCTGAGTGGCATGGGATGGGATCCAGGCCCTCCTGGAATCCCATTGCTGGTGCACTGCTGTCTTGTGTGCTGAGTGGCATGGGATGGGATCCAGGCCCTCCTGGAATCCCATTGCTGGTGCACTGCTGTCTTGTGTGCTGAGTGGCATGGGATGGGATCCAGGCCCTCCTGGAATCCCATTGCTGGTGCACTGCTGTCTTGTGTGCTGAGTGGCATGGGATGGGATCCAGGCCCTCCTGTGACCCTGATCAAGATAAGCAGTTAAAAGATGGATTTATAGGAAAAGGTTGGCATGTTAGTAACTTAATTAGTAGGCAATAGCCGGTATCATGTCTCTACTACAAGGGCAATAAACTCATTAATTTTAATATGGTATAAATTAGTGTATACATGAGTGAGGCTCTCAGTGGGGGCAGTAAAGGGAGGAGGCTGGAAGACTAATGATGCAGGTGGAAGGTAGACAGCAAGTGGATGAGTTGATGTAGAAGGTGACTTCTCTCTCTGCCTTCCCTCAGGTGGTCCAGCACACTGAAGATTTCCATGTCAACCGAAGATGCCATCCTTCAGGATCTCAATATGCTGCGTGAGGAGCAGAATGATTGACAGCCACTCGACACTCAGGACTGAGCCGCTGATCTCAGAACAGCCCACACCCTTCTAAAGAAAGTGCTGTCTTAGCAGACATCACTCACCATAACCACACACTCTCTCTTCTCATTTATTGTTGTTCTACTCTGTTTTGCTCCTGCTCTTCCTTCTCCCAGGTCTGAACTTGGCAGGACCCCAGACCTTGGATAGATGCAGCATTAATGTCATGGACAGTAGAAGGAACCTGAGCAGCACAAACATGTCGTATGGCCTCAATGCTTTTGCAAAGACTTGAAGAAGCCATTTTGGCTCTTTAGGAGTGAAACTACAGAGTGTGACACTTCAGTGCTCTGTTACTCTTAAAGTTATGTGCAATTTTCCAAAAACTGTCCTCAGCTGGTGCTGTTTTCTTTGACTACATGCATTGCTAACCGTTATCGCTCATATACCTTTTAGCTAATGCAGTTAATTTTGTAGGTGCTATAAAAAATGAAGATTATATTCAGGTAACAACATATTCAGCATGTAGTCTGAGTTCACTAATGACCAACTTAAAATCAGTTGTTTGATGAAAGAAGTGAGTGCTTGTATGGTGCTCTTACCACAGCTCTTCTATACCTTTATACATTAAGAAAACTCTCCATCTTGTGTGGCAAACGGCTGTTTTGTTTTCTGCGTCCACTCGTTTGCTTCGTTGCTTATTCTAAGAGAATTGCCAAATATACACAGTCATAGCATGTTCAAAGTTATTTATTTGCACATCAAGTGAATATGTGCTTAGAAAAACTATTTAAGATTAGAGTATATACAAATGAACACTAATACAACAACTATAATAATAATGATAATAATAATGATGATCTTTTGTTTGATGAAAAAGTTACTCATATCTTGTTGAATGGTGGTAAGACCACGGCTTTGGTTACCCCGATAAGCCAGTAACCCCACTTTGTAGTACAGGCCCCGCTTCGTAGCACAGGCCCCGCTTCGTAGCACAGGCCCCGCTTCGTAGCACAGGCCCCGCTTCGTAGCACAGGCCCCGCTTCGTAGTACAGGCCAAGGGTGTGCTAGTGGTTTAGGTACATATAAGTATATTGGAGGTTTGCTGCAAACCTCATGGTGATTTGAGGAGAAGTCTTCAGAAATGACCAAGCTGATACACTTTTATAGCAACATGACGATAAATTTTAACATAATTTATTTCCTTTGATGGTCTAATGCTTTTGAACGGTATGTAGTGCCAGTCAACTCATTTGGTGTCAGAAGTAGCCACATACGGCACCTTCCTCAGCGCCCCCCACCCCCACCCCCACCCCTGCCCCTAGCTAGGATTCCATGTGGATGCTGGCACACACTGGCAGTGGGTATGCACATTCTCTGACTAAGGCAAACTACTGTTTTATGGACCACAGGAAACTCTTTATTTGGGCTGTCTTTAATCTTGCCCTGAGTAACCTGTTTCAGAAGGTGCTAAGTCTTTTGTTAATTAGTGATAATTAAGCCATCCTCTTGATTAAGATTGCTAAAGGGATTGTTATCTGAGTGCTGCAGTCTTTCACTTAAGATAGCATATGGGACTCTTGCCAGCTAAGGTGATTGGGAATAAGGTGATATAAGACACTAATTAAGTTTACTGAGGTACAGTTTCACAGGACTGTATTGGGGACAGCTCATCGACATTCAGGGCTTGTATAGTCCTGACAATCAAGAAGAAACGTCTGAAAGATAAATTACACCAGGACTCCACTGATAAGTGTATATGGCTTTCTTTGCCATTTTGGATGGAGGGATGTTTTCCAAATTCTTTTCATAAATGTCACCAGTGTACATCCAGGACCCCTTAAAAGGTTTATAACTAAAAACTGGGGGGCACTATTACAGTGTAGAGAAATTCCAGATATAACAGAAAGCAACTTCTTTATTTTATATAGTCTTGTGAAAAACATATTTAATATAGAATTCTTCAGAAAAAGGTGGCTAGTTGGTACGACTGTAGCTAAAAAGTCATAATTACATGTAAACCTGTATGCATTTATTAGTCCTTGACATTTATAAATCTATTATCTCTGTCTTACATAAGTGTTTGTGCACTAAAGGGGAAGTCTGTGGTCTAGTCAGGGTAAAAACAGAATTAAATTTTGTTCTACCTTGAGTTTATAGTTCCTGGGTGCTCTTATACAGTCAATGTGGCCTTAGCATTACATAGCCTAAAGAACGCCACAGAATGCTTAATTACTAATTAAAGACTGCTACCAATGACAACTCAAGACAGCATTCTGACATTAGATGAATGAAAAGTAATTCACTGGAATTTTTAAATTATTGTATTTTGCTATCAGAAATATTTGAAATGCAGTTTCCCAAAGTTGACCATCCTTTATGATATGCTGAATTATTGAGGTACTATATATGGATAAATCTTACTGTGAAAGCTGGTTGAAGACGGTATCAAGTAAATAATTATTTGTTCATGAAGGTTAGTTGCATCATGGGAACCTCAATCTATGTTTTATTGTAGCATTTTTGATCATTTCAGTACTAATTTCTACAAATTCAACGTTCAAGGCTAAACGTAGGTTTGACATGATTAGTTTGGGCATCGTTCACTGTGACTCAGATGGTAGGCTGGTAATTAGCACCAGCGATTAATCGAAGCACTCATGTGTGCTGGATGTATGTGGGATATATGCTGTTGTTAAAGTTCCTTCCTCGTTCTCTTCAAAGCGATTTTGAATTTTGCTGTTGCACAGACTGGAGACACCTGAAACCTTCCACATCAACCACAGCCAACTCCTAGCACGACTGTTTCCTTCCTGTGTTCAGATGCACAGACTACTCAGTGTTGTGGTTTTATTCACCTATGGCAATATTTCATGGAAAATTTCAAGATAACCCTTACAAAAGTGCAGTAAGTGATTATGCTGCTTTGTAATTGCATGAGCAAATCAATCCACATTTTATGCCTCATATTGTTCATTTTTGTAGCTGTTTTGGCATTAATGTGCACATTTCTACTGCTCTGGGTGCGGAAATGTCCTGGATTAAGTGTTCTGTTCCTTGTGTGACCCACTACAGCAGAAATGCTGTCATATCTATACTACACATGCCCATCAGTAAAATTACCAGCTGTACCTTGAAAAAGCAAACCCATTATGTGTTGCTGCTGTATCTGTTATTTGGTTGGGTTTTCCTGTGAATTAAATATAGCTCCTTTTTTTAATTGTTTGCAGGATAAAATAAGGAGTGTTTTGCGGTGTGCATTTGTTTTTTCAGCATTTTATAAAATACAGTAGAGCAATAAAGAATCATCTTACATCTTTTGGCTGGGGGATTCATCTTGATGAATGTTTCTGATCTGCATTACAGTTTGAGGTGCATCGTGATCAGTGAGACCAACTCACTGTGTCTGTCCTCGCCTGTGCATCCTCCATGTGCAGGACTGGGGGTCGTGCTCTCAGAAGCTGGTAATAAATCAGACAGCCAAACTCAGGAATAGTGAACTCCAGGCAGTTTAAAAATGTAACAGCATTAGACCTTTTAAATGGTATAAGAGCCATAGACCTCGAATTCAGTTGCAAAGAAAATATAAACATGAATATGGTTGACAAAGAGTGGAGGTGAGTGGGTGCTGCAGTGCTGCCGCTGAGGTTCAGACCCTGAGAGGGTGGGCTGATGCAGGTAACTGGATCAGTACACTGCACATTCCTCACCTTATTATTTTGACAGACTGGATGACTGTACTGTCAGCGCTCTGTGAGGTAACAGCCAAGAATGGGAGACAGAACAAAGACTTAAAAGGACATTATACTGGCAAAAAAAAATCTAAGATGCTTGAGTATAGTAAAGAGATTCAATATAATATTAGAATCATTCAAGAAAGGTAAACTCCATGCAATTAAGAAAATAAAACAGTAAAATATCATAGATTAATCTATTCTTATTTCAGATGGTTAAGGCAGTGAGACCTGTTTTCTAGAACAATCTTCTGAGGGTACGCTGAGTTCTCTCCACATGTGGATAAGCTGCTTACTCTGTAATCACTGACCAGTTGTACAGTGTAGTGAACATGTTCATTAGCAGTGTCCCTGAAAATACAAGAAAGAGCATGTGCAGAGTCTTGTGGGGGGTGGCAGGGTTGGGGGGATGTAGGTTGAAGGGCAGTTCAATGAGATTGCTTAGAGGGTACAAGTCAGTAGTGGACCCCCTTCCCCTCCTCCACAGTCTGAACATGAAAGCTTCACCAATGGTGTGTAGGGCGTCATTGAATATGTAAGTAGCAGTGCTTACTGGTCTCACAGTGTGAAGAACAGGACTTTGGAGAGGATTGATGTTAAGACAAACCACCTGCAAAGGTACTTTCTCATTGCAATGATGTAAGACAAATGTCTTAAAATTCTGTTTCATGTGTTGGGAACACACGACATAATAATTGTTCCATCCATTCATCCATCCATCTATCTTCCAACCACTTATCATGGTTAGGTTCATGGAAAACCTGAAGCCGACCCTAGACAGCACAGGGCATGTGGTCCCCCCTTAAGGGAAGTCCAGTCCTTCACTGGCATATTGATTGCTGGTCCTATAAATTATGCTTCAATTATCCTAAACAATACAAAAAATATAACATTTTACCGAAGCCCAGCCCCACTGCACAAGTCCTGCAGAACAAGGAACCAACGCTGTCTGCTTCCAGGAGGGCCACCGTCCCCTCGCTGGTGCCACCACCTCTGACTCTGGCAGGCGTGTGGGTGGACATGTGGGTCATGTAAATGTTTGGATAGGCGTCTGGGACAGGGAGGTGTTGTGTAGGCCAGGGACAACTGGCTATTTCACTATTTTTAGTGATAAGGGAAGCAGCTGGACTTAAACCACTATCTTCTTTTTAACAGCTGAAAATTGAAAAGCTGTCTTCAGTCACCCGGAGTAGCCAGCTGTTGACTGAATGTAATATCTGCTAGTCTGCCCTATAGCATGCTCAATAATAATAATAATAAGAGTAATAATAATAATAACCTTTATTTTATGCACAGCAGTTCATAATGGGTACTGCAAACCACATTAAAATGTGTCATTTGCATAAATCAATATATGAAAAATATATATCTAAAAAATTACAGAGTGTATGTCTCCATGGCTGTCAGTGAAACAAGGCCAGGGGGAGGAATAATGGTTTGGATTCTCCGATTCTCCTGGTGCTTCTGATGTGAACATGTATGTGCGTCTGTCTGTGTGGAAGCATCAGTGGATTTGAATATTATGACCTGTGTCTGTCCTCAATATCTCCCTCGCCCTAGTTTACTGTCAGCAGCTGTTCTATATATCATTCTATAAATTAAAATCATGTAAGACTGTGTGTATATATATATATACAGTATACGTATGTCAGAGTGTGTAGTTATACTCCATGGACTTGGACTTGATTTGGATTCCCAAATCATTTAATTAATTTTATTCCCGCTTTTTATTTCTGTAGATATATATTATTTCCTACATATTTCTGTACATACATATAACACTTTTGGGGCTGAATTTTAAATTGGATGAATTTGAATATATTAAAAACTAATTATTACACAGCTATCATATCCCAGCTGGTTTCCATAGAAACTTTGTCTAAATTCCCCTAGTTGATATGAACAAATTGTTCCTATTAAAGTAAATTAAATATCTCTGTCCTCCTATATCGATCTATGTCTGCATTTAGCTTATTTTTATAGGGTTTGAATGAGGACATGTGCTGGCAAATAAACTGCCCCTCTACAATGACCACAGTCAAAGGCAAAGGACAGAACCAGATACATCCTGGTTTAGTCCAATAAAGCTTAGTTTCAGTCAGAAATAATTTTCATCGCTTATATATTAGTTTATGTAGCAGACATTTTTGTGCAATATGATGTACAGGTGTGGCAGATAATACATCATGAGCATATGTCGCTCGTAGAGTCACTTTCGTGTCATGGCAGCACGGCAGGTCAACAAGTGCAAGCATTACAGCAAGAGCTATACAATACAATACAGACCTTCCAAGAACCCAATAGAAAAATCACTAGGTGCAAAAAAAACACCATTGGGACCAGATTCCTTCAAAAGGAAAAACACAAGACCATCCGGCATTGCCTACAGATGAAGGTGGAGCAGGTCTGAGGCTGGATGAACAAGGTGAGGTGTTTCCAGAAAACAAGGTTAGAAAGGCTCATCACCAGATGTGGATGGGTAGCTCATTCCACCATCGAGGAACCACCTATGAGAAGCATGGTGGCATTGGTGGCTTCATGGTTAGGGAAGTGCACTTGTAACTGAAAGATTGCAGGTCTGTATCCCCGACCAGCAAGGCACCACTGAGGTACCCTGAGCAAGGTACCGCCCCCAAGCACTGCTCCCCGGGCGCTGAATTAGCTACCCCTGCTATGTCACATATTGGTTAAATGCAGAGGACACATTTTGTTGTTGTGCACTGTGTGCTGTGGTGTGTCAACAATGACCATTGATAACTAAATTATACATTTAGAGGCTCGTTTTCTCATGGGATCTCCAGGTAGTGTTGATTGGCTGACCAAAGAGCTGTAGGTGTTGATGAATGAAGGTGGGTGCTGTTCCTTTAATGGCTCTGAAAGGCAGCATCCAAGGACATGAACTTGATGCAAACATCTATAGGGAGCCAATGTGGAGAAACAACAGCCAGTGTAACATGAGATCATTTTGGCTGGTTGAATGCCAGAAGTTATGCCGCATTTCTAATTATCTGCAGTAGTTAATGGCACAATCTGTTAGCACTGTCAATAAAAAGTTGCAGTAGTCTTGTCTTGAGATAACTAAGAGCTGACCTGCATAATCATAATAAACAGTTAAGGCCTTATCTACCATGTGTTATACAGAGAGAATCTACAAGACTGGGATATGCACTATATGGACAATCGCCACAGGTGTTTAAAATCAAGCACCTAGCCATACAGTCAGGTTAATAAACATTTGAGAAAGAATGGGTCGTTCTAAAAAGCTCAGTGAATTCCAACGTGGTACTGTCATAGAATGCCACCTTTGCAGACAACAAAGTAACAAGCAGGGTCACTGAGTTCTGAAGCACATAGTGCAGAAAGGTCAGTAGTGCTCTGTTGACTCAATAGCTGCAAAGTTCCAAACTTCCTCTGGCATTAACCCCAGCACAAAAACTCTGCCAGGAGCTTCATGGAATGGGTTTCCATGGCTGAGCAGCTGCATGCAAGCCTCACATCACCAAGTGTGATGCCAAGTGTCAAATGGAGTGGCGTAAAACACGCCACCACTGGACTCTAGAGCAGTGGAAATGTTTTGTGGAGTGACGAATCACACTTCTCTGCCTGGGAGTCTGATGAATGAATCTGGGTTTGGCAAATGCCAAGAGAACATTACCCACCTGGCTACATTATACCAACTGTTAAGTTTAGTGGAGATGGGATAATGGTTCCAGGAAAGGGAACTCTCAATGCTTCAGAATGCTAAGACATTTGAAATATTCTATGCTTCAAACTTTGTAATAACAGTTTGGGGAATGCCCTCTTCTGTTCCAACATGTACACAAAGCAAGGTCCATAAAGACATGGTTGGGTCAGTTTGGTATGGAACAATTTGACTGGCCTACACAGAGCTCTGACCTCATCCCCAGTTAATTTGGCTACTTCAATATTAGTTTAAATACTATAACTCATGGCCATAAGTGGAAATTAGTGGGAGAACATTTTAAAATGAATTTGAGAAAGCACTTCTTTACACAGCATGTAGTTGAGTATGGAATAGTCTTCCTGTTAGTGTAGCACAAGCTAAAACCCTGGGTTTTTTTAAATCAGAGCTAGATAAGATTTTAACAACTCTGAGCTATTAGATAACTTCTCCCCAAACGAGCTTGACGAGACAAATTTCTTATGTTCTTATGAACACCTTTGGAATGAATTAGAATGAAAATTACAATCCATGCCTTCATGTCCAACATCAGTGCCTGACCTCACAAATTATCTGGATGAAAGCACAAAAATATCCACAGGCACACTGCAAAATCTTATGGAAAGCCTTCCCAGAAGAGTGGCAGCTGTTATAGCTGCAAAGGGGGGACCAGCTCCATATTGATGCCTACGGATTTAGAATGGAACGTAGATGTAATGGCCAGATGCCTCAATACTTTTGTCCATATTGTGTAGCTACAATGTGGTCAGCAAAGTACAGGTGGTCATCTATAAATTTTCAAATTCAAAGCACATAAAGACTTTTTAAGCAGACAAAAAAAGAATAAACCATCATTCATCTGTTCAGCCAGTTCTTATGTCAAATGATTTGC